AACTTGTTAAATATTTTTCCTGCTGTACATAAATGCTGAGAAAGTTAACCTAGAAAAGTATTTTTTGACATTGGCATGAAACTAAGTACATGAAGCATTCCCTTTTACATTCCCTTATGCAGTAATGACAAACATAGTTCTTCTTAAATTGGAATTTTAAAATTGGAATCTAGCTTTCCTATGATTGAAATGTAACCTAGGACCAACTCTGCCCACTACTTATTAGTTAAGTTTGGTTAACAGTGGTTAGCAAATGGTATATAATCTCATGCACTGCAGGATACAGCAATTGGAAACATTTGCTAATATATTTTAAGGCAAAATTTATCTCTTGTTATTAATTTATTTATGAATGACTTAACTTTTAAAAAATGTATTTCTAACCCTATTATGCTGCTTATGAAATGTAGCAAACCTTTTTTTTTCTTACTCAAACCTAGTCTAAATGGCTTTTCATTTATGCAAGTACTAGAGGCCTGGTGCATGAAATTTATGCACTTGGTTTGGCGGGGTTTCCCTCAGCCAGCCTGGGCCCCCTAGCAGTTTGGGAGCCCTTGGGAGGATGTCTGACTGATGGCTTAGGCCTGCTTCCCCCGGGAAGCCGGCCTAAGCCAACAGACAGGCATCCTTAGCACTACTATGGAGACAGGAGAGGCTCCAGCCACCACCATTGCACTTGCTAGCCTTGAGCCCAGCTCAGGACTCTGGCTGAGCAGCACTCCCCCTGTGGGAGTGTACTGACCACCAGAATGCAGCTCCTGCATTGATGTCTGCCCCCTGGTGGTCAGTGTGCATTCTAGCGATCAGTCATTCCGCCTTTCAATCTATTTGCATATTGGCCTTTTATTACGGTATATAAGGATGATTTTTTTTTTCTAAATAGACCTAACATTGAAACAGTTTTCAAAGAGGTTAACCTATCTAGTGAAAAAGAAATCTGATTGTTCTACATTTTGTTACTGTACTATTCTTTTGAAATGGTGAATGAACAAATGACTGTTTCTACTTTTCTGGTATTTATTTAACAAGTATTTATTGAACACACTTAACTGTATGTCACCCACTATGTTAGGTGTTAAGATATAATGTTGAGTAAAACAAGATATTTGACCTTCATTGAGTTAACTTACAGGGAGAATGAAACATTAAATATCATCAGATTAAAAAGTAAAGTATTAAACTTAAATTATTCATGATAAGTTTTATATGTACTCTAAGTACTTATAATTGGGAATTTTGACTCGGAGCCCAAAAAATTACTTTACTGGGAAATGACAAATAGGCCAAAAATCGGAAGGATCAGATGTTAGCCAGCTGACCTGGGGAGAAAGAGCAAATTTACCAGAAAAAAACAGTAAATGTAAAGACTTGCTGGTAGGTGTGAGCATTGTAAAGACAAAGGACTCAAAAAGAGTCCATGTGGCCATCGTAAGCAATTGGAAACCATTGAAGAGAGTGAAAGGAAGGTATGGCATGACATCTCTGTGTTAATAATGTATTCTGAGTTTTGGATAACTGGAGAGGGGCAAGAGTGGGGAAATGAGTTACCAAACTCAACCTGGATAGCTAGGTGAGGTCAAGATTAAAAAAAGTGGAACAATTTGAGAGATAATTAGGAGATAAAATTAACAGGAATTGGTAATAGATTTATTGTGAGTGATTTAGAAGTGAGAGCTATCTCTAGTGAGCCCTAGGTTTATAATGAAAAGATTGTTCCATTCCTGGAAACATGAAACATAAAACAAGGGATCCAGTTGGGGGTGAAGAACATGGGTTCCAGTGTGAGGTGGAAGTGATTTTAAGCTACTCCAAAGGAATTGTTGAGTAGGCAGCTGCACACTTGGGTCTGGATCTGAAATATATATCTCAGTTGAAGGTAGAAATTTTTGAGTCATCTTTGTTTAGGTGGCAAATTGAAAAGATGTTCACACATAAGATCACTTAGGGCCATAAAAAGGATGGTGAAAAGTACAGCTGGCGTAGGACTGACCTTTGAACTTGAACATTTCATGACATGAAGTGATGGATGAGCCTTCAAAGGAGACCAAATGGAGAGGCTAGAGGGGCAGAAGGAAAACCAGAAAAGTATTCTGTCATGGGTCGTGTAAACACTTGGAAAAGTGTTTTAAGAAGGAAGAAGTTGCCGGGACCGGTTTGGCTCAGTGGATAGAGCATCGGCCTGCGGACTGAAGGGTCCCGGGTTCGATTCCGGTCAAGGGCATGTACCGTGGTTGCGGGCACATCCTCAGTAGGGGGTGTGCAGGAGGGAGCTGATCGATGATTCTCTCTCATTGATGTTTCTAACTCTTTATCCCTCTCTCTTCCTCTCTGTGAAAAATCAATAAAAAAATATATTAAAAAAAAAAAAAAAGGAGGAAGTGGTGAAATGTTAGATGCTGTTGCTGTTGAGATTTCAAGTAAAATGAAGTCTGAAAATTTCCTGTTGGATTCAGGGTCATTTAGAAATCATTGCTGTCTTGGACACCACAAACTGCAATTATGTGGCATGAAAATGGTGATGATGACTTTGAACATCTCTCAAAGCTTGGCTCTGAGGCAGTTGAAGACAGAGGGTGCTCCTCGTGAACTTTGTAGTGAGGATGTGTTTGTCTTGTTTTTAATGAAAATGACTCAAGCATGATAAAAATCAATGGGAATAATCTAAAGAGATTAATAATGCTAGAAAGAAATAATGTATAGTGAGGGTTCTAGGATGGCAAAAAGGATGGGATTCAAAACAGTTAAAAGGTTAACCTGAGATATATATAGGATTACTTCTTACTAGAGGGCCGGTGCATAAGATTTGTGCATCTGGGGGGCGGGGGTCCCTCAGCCCCGCCTGCACTCTATCACAGTCCAGGAGCCGTTGGGGGTGTCTGACTAATGGTTTAGTTGTTATCCTTAGCGCTGCCACCACTGCTGTGCTCACCAGCTGTTTTCTGGATGAGTGGGAGAGCACACCGACCACTAGGGGGCAGTTCCTGTGTTGAGCGTCTGTCCCCTGGTGGTCAGTTTGCGTCATAGTGACCGATTGTTCTACCATTTGGTTGATTTGCATATTAGCTTTTTATTATATAGCACAATACAACTTTATTAATAGAATAGGATAAATGATGGAAGTAAGTTTGTATAAAGAAAAATGAAAAAGAATGTTAGATATGTTAGGAAAGCAGACAGGTTAAAAAGTTATTGTAGAGTGAATTGGCAAAAAAATATATGTAGGATTGCTAGGAAGTGTAGGAGCCTGTTTGAGGTTAATTACGGTATGGTGAATTTATAGTAGATAGAATGTATTATTTTCTGGCTATTGGGATGCTTTGATAAAGAACTCAGAATGTTCTTTTTATTCAAGGTTAACTAGAGGGATTGCTAACCATAGGGGAATTTAAAGGATTGCTAACCATAGGGGAATTTAAGTATATTGATCATATACTTAAATTGGATAAAGGAGGAAAATCAAAAGCAAAGGACTAACTGAGAAAAAGTACACATGTAAGTGAATTGCTGATCTAGTGAAGTCAGATGATTGTGGTGGATGGAATTTAATAAGCAAACAGAAATTGTAATCTTGTGGAATATTTCAACTGATCATTTTAGAAATAGAATTATTATAAGTGATGATAAGGACTGCAATGTGACCATGGGAGTGGGTCTCTGAGATAGAATAGATTAGGTAGCTAGAAAAGAGCAAGTCAAGAAGTGAGGATATATTGGGTTAGTAAGTGGTCACTGAGATAGAATAAATTAGGTAGCTAGAAAAGAGCAAGTCAAGAAGTGAGGATATATTGGGTTAATAAGTGGGCATTTCAGACAATAAGAATGATGTCAAAACTTAGGGTGGAGAGAAATTATAAGTTGGTTGTCAGTATCTTCAATGTAATACAGGGGGTGAATGATAGTCATGAAAAGTAAGAGAAGCTATTACAGCCAAATGCAAGAGCCTTATTATTGGTATTTTGGCAAGAATAATTTGTTGGATTGTGTATGCCAGGTACTCAAACAGCCACAGTGATACAGTGATTAATGACAGTATGGTGAAATAGAATCTACCTACAAAGTATATTTGGAACCCCAAGGATGGAGTGGTTTTCTTTAACTGAAGAAGTCATTGAAGGTTTTATGGGAAAGATATCTGAAATGAATTTTAGGAAGTTTCTAACATGGAGGAGGGGAAGAAAGACAATACAGGAAGAATTATAAGATGTATGGCTCCTAATAATAGACAAACATAAATTAAAAAATGATAGCATCCCATTGTACTAAGTACTGTTATAACATGTAGTTCTTTATCTTTGGAATATTTCCATCTCTTGGCCAATACATTTTTGTTTTGTTTTGTTTCTGTTTTTGTTCTTAGATTGTGTTCCATCTAATTTTTTGAAAAAATAGTATTATTCTTTAATGGAATGATTTAAGCATGTATCTGTGTACTAGTATGTGTGTGAGTACACACAATGTGCCTTTGTGTTTTTGACATTTCTTTTAAAGTTATGCCTCAAATAATTTATTGCTAAAAATAATTGCATAGGGTATTCTATAAGTAAGTAAATATGATCCCTTTCATGCATTTCCTTTTGTTAACACACTCATTCGATAAATTAAATTTCCATCATGATGGTTGAAGCTCTGTTTTAAGCCACAAGGACACAAGGATTGATATGATGATCTCTGATCTCAGAAAACTCACAGTTTATTATGTTCCAAGCCCAACAAGATATAATAAGTATAATATTAAAGTACTAATCATGGGGAATGCTATGACTTTTTTTTTTTTTTTTTTTTAAGAAAACTTCTTTCTCTCGAGTCCTCAGACACATTTTAAAATGTTGATGTATTCCTTTATTCACTCTCAGTGGAAAATGTTTGATTTCATCCAACTATAAATATAGTTAACCAAAAATTTGGATAAAGTGGTAGACAGCCTACAATATTAAGATTCCAAATAAAGTATGTTTCTTTTTGAATTAATAATCTTTCAAATTTTGCTTTATTCTTCAAAGGTTGTGAAGATGAGAAAAGAAGTGAAGAGAATCCGAGTTTTGGTTATCCGAAAACTTGTCAGAAGTGTTAGCAGACTGAAGTCAAAAAAGTTAGTCGTTTAAAGTTATGGCCTTCTGATTGATAAAATGTCAAAATTGTTTTTATTTAATATTTACAAAATTTGAGGGAGGGACCTAGAGGAATAATTATTATCTTAATCACACAGCACTTTTTATTTTTATTTATTTATTTAAAATATATATTTTATTGCTTTTTTACAGAGAGGAAGAGAGAGGGATAGAGAAGTTAGAAACATCAGTGAGAGAGAATCATTGATCAGGTGCCTCTTGCATACCCCCTACTGGGGATGTGCCCGCAACCAAGGTACATGCCCTTGACCGGAATCGAACCCAAGACCTTTCAGTCTGCAGGCTGACACTCTATCCCCTGAGCCAAACTGGTTTCGGCCACACAGCACTTTTTAATATATATGTTAAGAGAGGATCTGAGTGAGATAAAATGTGCTGTGTCAGCATGTTACATGGTTTTGATCATATTTGCTTAAAATACATGATGAGTTCTGCTGCTATTTTTTTCAAAAATCTCTGGCTTTTTCAGAATGAAAGTCTTTTGGGGTTATGTATATGTTTTATGTTATTAGAAGTTATCTTAAGATGTGGTATGGTTTTGCAAATCTAGAAATACCTTGTGTAAAATCAGTTGTAAAAATTTATATCACTTTTTTTACTTGAAATATTCAGTACCTTGTGGAAGTGTTTATCAAAAAATTGTGTTCCATCTAATTTTTTGAAAAAATAGTAGTTTGTATTTTCAGTGTCACTGGTATTAGAGGAAAAAGTATGTTATTTAAAGTCTTCAAATGTGTTTTGCTCCTGATTAATTTTTAGTGCTTTCTTTCATAAATGTTGCAGAAGATGGCTTTCCTCTCTGATACAGTCAAATATTTGGCATCTTTGTATATTCTTTTAATTCCAGAAAACAAATATTTATTTAATAAAATTATATCTAACTTTTAGTTGTAGCTTATGGACCTTAATATAAATACAATTGCTATTAACCACTTAATTAAAAAGTATTATTTGACCTTCCCATTAAGGAATTATAAGGCAAACAGCAGCAATAAATTTTAATATTATGCCAGGACTATGCCTATTTTTGCCAAGAACTTGGGTTTATTAGTAGAGCTGGGATGTATTATATGTTGGAAGGGGAGAAAGCAGTGCAGGATGACATTGAGATTTATGATATTTTTCTAAAAGAAATGAGACTTGATATGAGTCTGTAATAAATGCTTTTCCTGTCTACATATTGTAATTATCTTTTGCAGGGGTACTGAAGAAGCACTGTTGAAAAACCAAAGGCGAGCACAACGGTTGCTTGAAGAAATTCATGCCATGAAGGTAAGGACTTGTGCAACTGTGTGTATGCGTGTTTCTGTCTCTCATCTCAGTCTGCATTTTGTGTGTGTGTTGGGTTACTTATTTGAATATTATTGTAGATTTACCAAGACTTATTTTATGCATCTGTTTGGTGAAGAATGTAGCACATTTAGAAAATTGTAATATGATGAAGCTTACATTTTCTCTTTCACTGAATTTGTTAAAGTACTTGACTAATTTGAGTCAAAACACTGCCAAACTAAACTCATCTGTGTTTAATAATGCCTCATGCCTAAGGCTTTTATTTTTACTGTAACTTTAGGCATGTAGTCTAAGTTGAGTTCAAGAATTGAAGTGTTCATGCTATTTGGTAATGTGGATGGGGATATTGGTGGCTGACATCATGCTTTACCTATTGCCAACTCAATAAATTTTTGTGTGATGGTGTCAGCATTTTATTCAGCTCTGTAGTAACTTGAAATAAAATTAGTATTGGACCAAAATGATCCATATTTTTGTTTCTTTCAGCCAGACTCTTCACTAGCATAATTTTTAGGTCTTCTCACTGCTCTTACTTTGTGGAAACTTTCATTTACCAAATGACATACTATTAAATGTCTGGAAGAGTTTTTTATTGCAGAACTTAAAAACAACATTTGGTACTAGCAATTATGTTAATTGCAGGGTCATTTTGCATGTATGTTTGACTATTACATTTTGGTATAACTTTCAAGAGTTTGGGTTTTTTTGTTTGTTTTTTAATTTTACTGATTTCAGAGAGGAAAGGGGGAGAGAAAGAGAGAGAGAGAGAGAGAGAGAGAGAGAGAGAGAGAGAGAGAGATTGAGAGATTAATGATGAGAGAAAATCATTGATCAGCTACCTCCTGCACGTCCCCGTTGGGTATCATCATGCTGTGACTTCATGGTTCATAGATTGATGTTCAACCACTGAGCCACACCGACTGGGCACTTCCAACTTTTGAGATAGATAAAAGAATGATTGAATTCTCTAAAACTATTTTAATTGAGTTAAATTATCAAAGTTTCTCATCTTTTTTTTTTCTTTTTTTTTTTTTTTGGCTTTTTGTTTTTGTTTTTGTTTTTTGCTTTTGAAAGGATAGTAAAGTATTTTATAGGCCAGTTATTTTTCACAGTTAATCTGAGTAGAAACAGATGTAGGACATGATTTTTCTTTTTTCTTTTTTTCCTTTTTTTTTTTTTTTTTTTTGGTGTGAGGTGATTTTATTTTTTTGTATGGAATTATTTTTAATCACAGGACTGCAAAATTTATGAAATACATTTGATCTATCTTCTCTAGTGTTTTAATCCCTCTCTTTTTCCCCCATTCAGTCAGAATACTCTATGTTTGCTTCCTAATTGTCATTTGTGTCACTTTGAATGATATATCATTTAGACTTTTTCATATACTTTTTATTTCTCATGAAATAAAAATGAGAGAGAAAATGTTTAGATATTTTTGATTTGAGGATAACTTTAAGATAGGAAGTTATTGTGTATCTCGTTGTGTCTTTCACTTTCTCTTAACCGAGGTTCTTACTAAATTATTACATTCCTTACCTAAATTTTCCCCTGTAATTTCTTCTGAATGGTCATTTTTGTAGTCCTCAATTATTCAAAGTCTTTGAACTACTATATAATTGCTGATTTTATTTTTCCATGGAAAGGATGCATTATAATATAATAGGACTATGTGTAGTATATGAAGACTCTGAAAACAAAGATATTCATTAATCTTCAGAATATTTCTTTTCTGTAATAATAATAATGGATTAAATTTGAAGTTAATCAGAAAAATAAGTTGTCCTAATTGATTTATATGTGAAACTTGTTTTCTTTTATTCTTTTTTTTATTTTATATTTTATTGATATTTCACAGAGATTAGGAAGGGAGAGAGATGGAGAGCTAGAAACGTCGATAAGAAAGAAACATCGACCAGCTGCCTCCTGCACACCCCCCATCGGGGATGTGCCCGCATCCAATGTACATGCCCCTCACTAGAATCGAACCTGGGACCTTTCAATCCGCAGACCGATGCTGTACCACTGAGATAAACTGGCCTTGGTTGTTTTCTTTTATTCTTAAACCTCAGCAGGAATAGCATATCGGACTCAGTGAGAAAGTTCATAGGTTTGCAACATTACTGTGTCACATTTATAGTTTTATTTTGTGTGTGTATGTGATTATATAAGACCACTGTGGAATTGTTGCCTCATAAAAAGCTAAAATGCATAGCCTATATAGTCTGGAAATTCATAAAGTTAATAGTATATATGTATATTTTTCCCCTATTCATGGGTTAGGGTGGTCTGAATTGGATGCTCTGAATTGAACTTTTTTTTTTTTTAATGCTTTTTAAAAGTTGAATTAAATTTAAATATAAAAAAAGAGAAAAAGAGTAAGACTATGTTTTCTTTTCTTACACATCTAATTTTATTCTTTATTTATGATCCTTTTAATGGTCTATTTTTCTAAAAGAAAAATATATAGAGCATTTTTTAAGTGAATGGTCATTTGAAATTTCCTAAAGAAGAGTTTATCATATATACATGGGAGTATCAAAGAAATAGTCACAAAACAGGAAGCTCACAGTCTCAATTAAATCTGAAGAAAAACCTCTACTTATTCATTTTTCCAGATGAATTTTTTCCTTGGCCCATATACCACTACATTTTTACAGTCTTGTTCATGACATACTGTCCTATACTTGCTTTCTATGATAACAGGGTATTCTGTTGCAAGATGACTTCCTCAAAGAGAAAACCTAAAATATTTTTAGAAATGGGAGTTTGTTTATTTCTGGCCAAGAGAAAAAAAGGGGGGGCCTGATCTTTTTTATATATATATATATATATATATATATATATATATATATATATATATATATATTTTTTTTTTATTGATTTCAGAGAGGAATGGAGAGGAAAAGAGAGATAGAAACATCAATAATAAGAGGGAATCATTGATTGGCTGCCTCCTGTATGTTGAACTGAGCCTGCAACCCAGGAATGTGCCCTAGATCAGAATCAAAACCAGGATCCTTCAGTCTGCAGGCCAACGCTCTATCCACTGAGCCAAACTGAGCCAAACCGGCTGATTTGTAATAATCTTCCTTTGGTTTTTCCTCCTTTTGTTTACATCTCCGTCCAATGTTTTGGAAACTATTTTAAACCTAGAGAAAAATTATAATGCTACAATGTATAGTAGTAATACATTGTATCACACCTAGTTTGTCCCTTTACTGGTGATGCTTAGTTCCAATCACTTGGTTTAGAGCAGGGGTGGGGAACCTTTTTACTGCCAAGGGCCATTTGGATATTTATAACATCATTCGTGGGCCATACAAAATTATCAACTTAAAAATTAGCCTGCCTAGATTTTGCCAAACATTTATTTAACTCACTCCTAATGCCTTGGAAGGGCCAAAATAAATGATTTTGTGGGCTTTATATGGCCCAGCCCTCAGGCCAGCCATTCCTTACCCTGGTTAGATGTTATCGGTCAGATTTCTCCATTTTCCTGTTTGCAGTTATTAAGTAATCTGTGAGGTGATAATTTTGAAACTGAACAGTCTTTCACCCAGTGATTGATGTTTTGTGGCTTAATCAGTTAACTGTTTCTCTTTCTGCTGTAATTTTTTATTTCTCTGATAAGATTTTAATTTGTTAAGAGGTTTTTAATTTTTTCTTTACAATATTGAAGATAGTGCTAATAGCCATTTTTCCCTATGGAGTATGGTTTCTTGACTTCCTGCAGGAAAGATTTCAAAAGATTCCTGGTGATTTTGAAGTACATTTATTAATGCTGGAGACAGTGAAACTGAGGAAGTGCTTAGGATAGAAGAAGCAACAGGAGAGACTATGCGGGACTGCTGTGGCTCTCTAGACACATTATAGAAAGAAGTGAGCCAAGGAGGTGCTGCTGTTAGCTCACTGGAGAGTTAGAGAACAGGAGGCCTTCAGGACAAGGTCAGGGGGTTAGCCCAGGATATGCAGCCTCTGTCTCTTGCTCCCCTGGTTGCAAGTCTCATGGGGTCCCTTAGAGTTAAGGAGATGCAGGCCTGTGGGGGAAGAAAAGGAGGGAGAGAAAGGTGTGGGCGTGTTCCTAGGAGGGAGAGTGCACAAGTTTTGAAAATCTTAATGTAGGCTGCAATTGAATTTTTTACAATAATTTTTTATGTTAATCTTTTTATTGTATATTTATGGAGGATTATGATTTAGTTGAATGTGAAAATGAGAGAAAAGTTTGTATAGCAATTACAAATCTGTGCTTTGTGAATATTGTGAGAGGAGTAAATGATATTGTTAATCTACAAAGATAGTAAAAGAATAGCTGCTAATAGTCTGAAAATTGAATAAAGCTGTTTTAGTACTTGACAGTTTGAAGTTTTCAGCTATGTGATTATAGTTATGAACTGGATTAATTGTTTGCAACAGTCTTCAGAGTAGTTGGAACAGAGTAGTGTTCTTTAGATATGTTTGCCTACATTTTTGTGAGAACATGTAAAATCTTTTTATCTCACACCACTGTGCATAGGCCGAAAGAAGAAAAAAAAAAACCAAAAAAGTGTAATGAGTATGAATTGAAAAGTACAAAACTGAGTTCTAAGTCTTGAAATTTAGGTTACAAACTTTGACCTCTGTAGACTTTAATTTCTTCACAAAATTAAGATGATTGAGTAGATTTTTTTTTTTTTTAAGTCATTTGCTCCCGTGTCCTATTCTTTAATCTCAACAAGCTTGGAGTTTACTATCTTTGCTACCTGCTCTTTCAATCATGAGCAAAAAATGTAGGCTTATAAGCTTCTCAGTGAAACAGTACTTTTGTTTGAAGTAGTTCAATTGAAATTTTTATTTTATTTACAAAGCAGTGATTGACATGTTTTTACATATCATTATAGGACTTATACCACTTAAATACTAATTTACTAAATGAGCAATTTCTTATTCATTTTGTCTAGTTGACAGAGTAAGGACCTTTCTAGATGTTTATCCTTGAAACA